TCTCTCTATATATATATATATATATATATATATATATATATATATAGGGATTGGTTCCAATGAGTCCACATTCTTAAAGTGAGGACATGAGACTCAATCATAACCACTACAAGGGTATCAAGATGTGTGGCCAATATTTAACTATTTATTTAAATAATATTTTTTTACTTTAATTATTTTAATTATTGAAATATTATTTTGACTATTGACCGTTGACTCTGATGTTGACCGTTGATTTCTGGCGTCGACTTTCGGTGAAAATTGTTGACTTCCAGCATTGACCGTTGACTTTCACCGTTGACCGTTGACTTCCGGCGTTGACTCCGACGTTGACCGTTGACCCCTAGTATGCATTATGTAATCCCTTGCAACTAATGATAAATAACTTTGCAACTAGATACAACCAACCTTGCTACTAAATATATCTAACATTGCAACTAAATATATCTAACCTTGCAACTACTGATAACTAACTTTGCAACTAGATACAACTAATATTGCAACTACAGAGAACTAACCTTGCAACTACAGATGACTAACCTTGCAACTAAACACAAATAACCTTGCAAAAACAGATAATTAAACTTGCAACTACAAACAACTACCATTGCAACAACAGATAACTAAACTTGCAACTACATTCAACTAAACTTGCAACTACATTCAACTAAACTTGCAACTCAAACAGTTAACCTTGCAACTAGATACAACTAATCCTGCAACTACAGACAACTAACCTTGCAACTATAGACAACTAACCTAGCGACTACAGACAACTAACTTTGCAATATTAATCTTGCAACTAGACATAACTAATCTTGCAACTAGACATAACTAACATTGCAACTACAGACAACTAACTTAGCAATTACAGACAACTAACTTAGCAATTACGTACATACAAGTAAATTAGCAACTACAGACAATTAACTTAGAACCAACAAACAACTAACCTTGCAACTACAGAAAAAAATAACATTGCGACTACTAACAATTAAACTTGCAAAGTTAGTGTAAAAATGATGCATGGTTAGTGTCAAAATATTGCATGGTTATTGAAACAATAATGCAAAAACTTTGTTGCATAGTTAGTGATAAAGTATTGCACAGTTAGTGTAAAAATGTAGCATAGTTTTTGAAACAATGATGCAAAAATACTGTACACGAGAGACATACTTATTGTAACAAACTTGATACATATTTATTTCAACACATGTGCATAAGTATTCCAATTACTTAATATGAGCCATTGATCAACACAAAATCAATGATCAAGAGGTGTCCTATTTTTTTTTTTTTT